AGTTAGTTAATCCATTGTCTCTCACAAAACGGCAAACTTCCTATGCAATTGTACATAGAAAAAAAAGGTTTCTCCGACCTGTGTTTGTTGTATTTAAACATACCGTGTAGCATAACTATAGGTTTGCGAATGATTGACGACTACGGTAACAGCGTTTCGCATTTGAAGTCTTCAACAACAGCTTCTTCTACTTGAGAAACTGGTTGATTAGCTAAAGCTATCATTTTTACCATGATAATTATTACGTATAATTCATGACAGCAGTCATGAATTATACAAAACCCCCCTTTAACAGCGAATATGTTTTGACTGGAGTTACCGATTTGAATAATTTGATTAAGCTACAATTCAATATTTTACTCGTAAGCGATTTACTCAGGATGCGTTGGATGTAAAGTTCATTGCCACACGGGTAGTTGAAACATCAACTGCGTCAACGCGAACAACCGCAAGACGTATTTGTAGCAACTTCAAATTGCCCAAGAAGGCCCATATTATAACTTATGTTTCCGGACAATTGTTTTTAAGAACAAAAGGTATTGTCTGACATTGCCGAGCAGGCCATCATACATGTTTTACTTCTTGAAGATCAGTGATATGGAAAATGCCCTTAATTTTTTCGGCTGGTTCCTTTCAGTCACAGCAGTTATAGGGAACAGTTCAGTGATCGTTCTGATAGCCTTAAATCGTCGACTTCACTCCACTGCCAATTGGTTCGTCCTTTCTCTTGCAGTGGCCGACGCAATGCTCGGATTCACAGTATTTCCACCGGCCTATTTTTGTACCGCAGAAAAGTGCAACTTGAAAATGGTCTCGGCATTTTTTTGGTTTTCCCTGCACTCATCGGTCTCGAATCTTTGCAACTTGACTTGGGATCGCTACATCGCCATTGTTCACCCTTTAAAATACAACACTTCATTTACAAAGCGTCACCCTGGACTGGTAATTGTGACAGCATGGTTGCTTGCTTTCACAATTTCGTCGTCAACTTTGGTGACACAGTACGTGACGAAATCCGACACAGCATTGAACATCCTATTTTTTATTACCGTCCCTGGGTTTCTTCTACTGTCCTGTGTGCTACTCTTTTATGCAGCTATTCGCATCATTATGGTAGCACACAAGCAAAAGCAGCAGGAAGTGATAATACAACTTCAACTGCGCTGCAACCAATTATTTACTGACGGAGAAGACAACGCACTGTGTCTCAGACGTAACAAGAAGAACTCAGCTCCTTTCATCGTTGCTGTAGTCTTTTTCTTCTTGGGATGCTACTTAGCGGTAAACGGTTTAGTTTTATGCATCAATTTTTCCTGTAATGTTTCCGAAAGAGCTGGACAGGTGATAACTATTCTCCTTATCTTGAACTCCGTTGTGAATCCTTTCGTCTACGCTTGTTTAAAAAAGGATATCAAGAGAGAACTAGCAATACTCGTTCGCAAATGGAAAATTAAGTTAAATACTTCTACGTAGACCTTGGTATAATGGGTAAACAATAAGAGTTCACTAGTTTTTCTCTTTTTTTTTTAATACACGACAGAGCGTTAACATCAGTTCAATCTAATCTAAATTCTGAATTAAGCGACAATGCTTTGTAATGTAGATTTATGTAAATGCATTGAACATTTCAAATCACCAAGATTAAACTCTTGCGTTGCGATCAAAACACGAGAAAAAGAGACGAGTAAGAGAGCGTTCCTTTTTTTTAAGTTTTTCGTTTTTGTAGTCGAGGTCTGCATCGACATTTCCAAAATGAAGTATTAATATGCACAGCATTTGGCTTAGCGTTAAGTGTTCACATACATGTTTTCTTATGCAATTTAATATAGATGAAATTCAATGAATCATAAAATTATATTCTTCATGGGCAATCGGATATTAACAATCACCACTGAGTTTTCAAAATGGAAGAGGAGATCTGTTCGAATTTGAACGGTTCTTTTAACAGGAGTTGTCTTGAACAATGTTTGTCTCACGACTTTGAAATGTGGAGTAGAATTTGAGCTTTGCCTATTTTATTACCTGGCAGGTGGCTTTCCACAATCATAATCAGTTTCGAAGGTTAAATGTAAATACATTTATTAACCGAGGTAGATCATTCATTGTTAATTAAGTTAAATTAAAGTAATTGTCGGCTGATACAGACACACTATGGGAATAACTACAGAATACAGACAAAAGTATCTGAAAAGGAAAATATTTTATTAAATGGCTTAGGCTTGAGGCCGATATAACGCGCACTCTGATTGGCTCAGAGCGAGATAATAGTAATAGTAATAGGCTTTATTTAGAGAGGGTAAAACACTTAACAGTAGCCCTAAGACACTGATGGCTCTGTGGCCCTCAAAACAGAGATCAGAGTAGGGCATTAAACATTTAAAAAAATTTTAAAAAATAAAATAAAAATAAAATTTAAAAAAAAAAAAAAAAAAAAAGCTATGCCCACGGGCGGATTAAGGATCGTGTAAATTAGAGGCAAAAAGTGTTTCGTGCCGCGGCGGTTCTTTTCGAGTGCATGAAGATTATGAAGGCTGATTAACAGCCAGAGGGAGTAGACTCGATTTAAAGTTTTAGAGAACAGCGAAGGTACAGTTTTAAATTACCTATGGATTAAGTTGAAAGGGACGAGGTTAACAAACAAGAAAACATTAAATTCGTATTGAAAAGCTGGTAACATTTTGACGAAATTTTTCTTAAATAAATTACATTAAGAGACTGTTTTTGACCAATCAGATGATAACCTTGGAGGGTACACTGAAGAACAATCAAAGTTTGCAGTTTCGAATACAAGGCTTAGTGAAAAAAAAAAAGTGAAAAACACTATCGGTAGATCTGTCATGAATCCTTGGAAGGACACCACAAACAGCAAAGCGTAAGAACTGGCGAAAGAAGGCCAGCGTGACGCAAGCTGTTTGTCCCATTTCCCTGTCTTTGTTAGAAAACGGGGCATCCCTTTCGGTTTGCTTTCAAGTGGGATGAGTTACAAGATGATCATCGATTGAGTGTTTGAGAATTTTCATTTAACCAAGCCACAGAAAGAAAGTGGTCGAAATCTAACAGGGTTCCGTTAAAAAATTAATTTGTTCAATGGCATGGGGGAAAAAAAATAAGAATTCTCGTAGTTTTCCTAAGGGTGAAAAGGTGGGACCTAATGAACAAGACGGAAATTTCAGCTGATATGTCTTATTTGGTGGAAAATATCTTTGTGTACTTCTTGCAACTCGTACATCAATGGCCTAGACAAGGAGGATCCTTGGGTGCCTGTGACCCCCTTAGTAAACCATTTTTTGTCGTATTAAGTAAAACACGGCATAGAGGTCGACATGAAAATCTGGTGAGTACCCTCTGTTTGACACAGTGTGACCCCCCCCCCTTTTGAAAAATCCTGGCTACGCCCCTGTATATGACAGTCTTGGGGTCATTTCCTCACTTTTCAAGAACATTTAATAACTTAAAGTTTTTTAAAAGCTGAGTCAAGTTTCATTTTAAGCTTATGTCAAGCTTCAGCTAGAACAATAAAACTTCCCTTCAGGAAAAATTCTTAAGTGGAAACTGATGAAAAATCAATTTTGTCAATAAATGATGTACTGAGAGTAACATAGAAATGAAAATATAACAGTACATTGTAAGTAATATTTCTGTAATTTTATTTTAAACAACCTTCATTTAATAGCTTGGATTCAAGTCAATAAAAATAGGTTGAGCACATAAAGTCCTGTCATTTTAGTAATTTTGCCATGAGAAATACCATGCAACAACAAATATCATCTTTTCGCTTTCTCACTAAGTGCCATTGTGCAAGGAGAAACTGCTTCCATGCAAACAAAAGTTTCTCACATCCAAACATATGGAAGGTAGGCTTATGCTAAATTACAGAAGGGGTGTTTCTAGGCAACTTCCTGAACTGACAGTTGGAACGGAATGTGTAATTGCCACATACACATGTTAGGAGAATAAGAAAGCCTATAAAACTTTTACTGTAGTTATTTCTGCTTTGCCTCAAGCTCTTCTTCAATAACAGCTTCATCCCATGGACCATGTATATTACTACAGAGATAAAATACAACAACAAGGAATTAGCCAACCAACTGACGCCAACAAGGTAGCAACTATTGAGTGAGGTTGAGCATGATATCATGAATTATCAAAACCAAGGTCTGAGTTATCTGCCAAAGCAGAAGGCTAAGGTAGATGACACAGATGCAAGGTTTTATAATACATGATATCATGTGAAAACCAAATTTAGTAATTGTTTTATAATCATAAATTTTTTCAACAATCTGCATGAGACACCTCTTTGAGTTTGCAAAGTTTGAGAAAACTACACTGATGTGGGGCTTGGAAACTAAGCAATCCAGCAAAAGCCTCCCCCCAACATTTTATCAAGTATCCCTGAAAGTTTGCTGGTACTTATCAACAGTCCTCCACAGAGAGAATCCCTCTTTGAGAGAAGTGCCTTGCCCAAGAACACCACCCACTGATCCAGCTTAGGCTTGACCTCAGACCTTCTGATCTGGAGTTTTGTGTACTGGTCATTAGGCCACAGCAAATTAACCCTTTAACACCTAAGAGTGACTAGCATCTAATTCCTCCCTACAATATCACCTCTGAATCATACATCAAGGTCATGAGAATAAAGGAAATGATCAGTGACTAAAGAAGCTCTTGATTGTTAAACAAATTCTCCTTGAAAGCACCTTAAGAAATGTATGGAGAACAGTATAGAGAATATGTATAATGATGTCAGGGTGTAAAGGGTTAAGCAACAATGGTTTCTTAGTTATTTTGAGCAGAAATCTGAAGAGAAGAGTCCTAAGTCAAACCTCAATCATAGGATGTCCTCAACAAGACTGGAAAAAGATTAGATTATGAGGATCACAAGAATGATTTAACTCTATCAAAACAATAATCATAATCTTTCCACCTTTCCATCTGCTCATTTTAAGCTCATGGTGTCACCTGAAAATCACTGTCTATTGACAACAGCCAGTTAGTTACTAATTTCAATGTAACTCTGAGTCATCTTAACTTAGGATACAAGATTATAAAACCATTTGAATCTTAAAATCTATTCTAATTCTTAGATTTATATGCAAACATGCTTACTTTTTGAATCTCTGCAATTTAATTAACCAGAACGGACATAAAAATGTTACAGCCAGGTGAACAAGAGCCAGCAACAATGCAAACAGTTGGGAAAGTGGCCATAGCATTGCTACAGCAATTAGAACCAGAGTCCAGGTCAAAACAACATGACTTGATGGTAGCTGCATCTAAAGAAGGTGCAAGAAAAAAATTGGTACAAATAATGTTGGTACAAAATCTGTCACTTAGCAATTATCAAACTCTCATTCAAAATTTAAGGAGCTGCATCACAACTTGTATGACTTGAATATCTTCCCTAAATTTTCCAAGTTTTCTTTTTTGTAAAGGGTGTCAATCTTTTTTATGCTAACCATGCTCATTCATTTTGCCTCAATGGTGTTTTCTTATCCTAACAAACCAAGACAAGAATTGAAGGTTTTGTTTGATTTATACCTAGGTAGTTCTCTTTGGTGCCACAATATTCAAAGGTCATAGAATAGAAAATTTGAAATCACAAATTTTAAAACCTTCTCATATTCAACATTTGCCAAAAGACTGTGTTTCTTGAAACCACTGCCAAAAGGAAAGCAAATATAAGCTTACATGGTTACTAAATAATAATTAAAACAAAAAAATTATGACCTCATCAGTCGTTTTCAAGGAGCCTTTTTCTAACTATCAGTGTCTTTTTCACTACAGGGTTATAAATAACACTGCCCTTCACACGGTGTAGAACATCTACAAACAAATTACATTGTAGTACTGAATAACCTTTGGTTACCCTTTTTGATTTTTAATAAAAGGAAAACAACAAATCTTGAGTATATTCAGAACATGCCAAACTTTCCAAAAAACTGACAAAAGTTGCTGGAAAACATCCCAATAAACAAATAAAGGGCACTTTTCATACACAGAACCAACAACATTAATTACTGACAAAAACAAATCAGCACCACAGTAAACAACACAAGGAGCCAATGAGAACTCAGAGAGAATATGGTAAAAGGCCCAAACTGTGCATGAAAAAATGTGAGTAATGAAGTTGTGTTTGGTTAAAGCTTTGCCCCTGATTGGTTGAGATGGTTCCACAAGTTTTCTAAACCAATCACAGAGAGGTGAAAACAGAGTGCAGAGTCTTGCATTAATTTCAACACTTATTTGAACAATGCTCTATAATTTCACAAGACAAAAAATATGTGTACCTTAAGCTGTCTTCTCAGTGATGGAAACAAAGCAAACAATTGCATAGCAAAAGTGACAGTCCCAAAGACATGCCAGGAGGAGGGGAGACGTGATGCTAGACACACTGAAGCAAAGATGGAGGCATTTAGGGAGGCAGACCTTGAGACTCTGTCAAAAAATAATGAAACAACTTTCATGTATTAGCTGGAAAAAGATTCAATGCCCATAGCTCAAGAGCTGCCATCCTAGCACTTGCAAAGAAGTTAAAGAATCAATTACATCCAACAATTTTTTTTAAATTAGCTAACTGAAAAGAACATTCCCTTAACTAATGGTTCTAAGTTATGAATTAGACGACGGTCACATAGTTTCTATCACTTACATTGCAGCATGTGTTCCATAGTCATACAGAAGAAGGTTCATCCCAAGCATGAAGGTCTGAATAAGAAAAACAGTACCATCAAAGTAGGGAACTGAGTGAAGGTTCTCCATAAAAAAATGTAACAAGAGCATTTGCTGAAAGAGCTATTATTTGAGATCAGATTTGGGGAGTGAGAACTCACTAAAAATTTTCTCACTCCCACCATATGCCTCAATATCTAGCACATTTGGTAATAGCACCTAAGGAGTATTTATCTTCAGGGCAAATTGAGTTTTAACACTGCTGACAACTAAATTCCTCTCTTGGGCTTCAATTTATGCAATTACTCATTGCAAATTTATTTTTTTGGATAAATTCATAACTTATCATTCACAAGTGTGATGTACTATGCTACATACATTACTTGTGAAGTTGTAAGAAAGATGTAGGCAAAAAAAGACTGAAAAATTCTAAAATACTAGTAAAATAAAGGAAGACTTGTGAGCATTTGAGCCAAGGATGAAAGTGAAAGACAACTTGTATATTTTAAAATAGTTGTGGACATTTTTTTAGTCGTGATTCAGAATAATTTGACTGGTGGCCATTATAAAACTTAAAAAATAAAAAAAAGATTGGATGCCACAGAGTAATCCACTTTTCACATTGTTTCTTTCATACAAATTCATTGTACAATGTAACTTACTTAGGCCAGTCCTTACCGTCATGGCATAAATGGTGTCTGTGCTAATAGTATCAGTTAAGGTTTTCAAAACTGGGGAAAGTACATACACAGAGCAAAGCACCACAACACAAATTCTAATGTCATCCATTCCTGCAAACATGAGCAACATTTTTTTGAGTACTACCAATACTCACACACTATCCTCCTAATAACAGATGGTTCACAAATCAGTTTCTCTTTCTTCTAGCACTACCTTGAAGTACAAGATATCATGTGCAGAACTGGGGGACCTAACTGAATTCTTATTATTCATAGAAAATTGGCTGATTACCACCTACTGTTTCTATGGCATGAACTGATGGAGAGCATGCATATGGATGAGGCCAGACCATTAAAAACAACCTGTAGTCATTTCCCC